CCGGAAGGCCTTGCCCCAGTCTGGACATGGGTATGGCCGCTCGCCCGTGTGGATGCGCCGGTGCACCTGCAGCGATGTCTCTGTGCTGAACAGTTTTTTGCACTCACTGCATTCCAGGCCCCGGCGTCGGGAAGGGGCTGCAGGGGCTGCAGTGGCAGTGCTTCCAAGCGCTGCGGGGGGAGTAACTGGTGTGCGAGAGGCCCGTGGGGCCCGAGGAGCTGGGGGCTCCTTGGCCAGGACCTCTCCAGGTCCAGCGGCCGCATGAGCTGCCTCGTGTGCCTGTAGCCGAGCAGCTGAGCCCACTTTCTTGCCACAGGTGCCACACTCAAAGCGCCGTGGGGCTTGGGTGGCAGCAGCTGCACAGCGGTGCTCACGGAGTCGCAGCGAGGAGGGGAAGGCAGCTCCACAAGATGGGCAGCGGTGGGGCTGACGCCCGGCATGGGCCACAAGCTGGTGTACTTCTAGTAGTCGACGCAGCAAGAAAGAGCGAGGGCATTCACGACACTTGTAGGGGTACTCGCCTGTGTGGTGGTAACGGTGCATGAGAAGGCGGTAAGGGCGGTGAAAACGTACCCCACATTCTTGGCAGCGGTAGGGGAAGTGTTGGGCATGCACTAGGCGGTGCTGTCTTAGAGTAGAACTTTGTGTAAAAGCTTTGCCACAGTCCCCACACCGGTAGGGTCGCTCCCCAGTGTGGGTGAGCCGGTGGCGAGCCAGATTGGCAGGCGAGTTGAAGGGCTTAGAGCAGTCAGGGCAAGGGAAGGGCCGTTCTCCTGTGTGTGTGCGCAGGTGGTTACGCACATGGGACTTTTTCTTAAACATCTTGCCACAAATGCTGCATTTATGGCGCCGCTCCAGCCGGTGCACAAAACGCTGGTGCCGGGTTAGCTGCAATGCCTTGCCAAATTCACGGCTGCAGAGGAGGCAGCGGTAGGTTCCTGGAGTAGCAGGTTCTGCTGAGGTCTCCTCAGACACAGGAGGTTCTGGGGCCTCTGGCTCTCCAGTCTCTGCTGGGGCTGGCTCAGAGAAACCGATGACAGGCTCCTCTGGTGGGACTGGGGTTGTGGGCAGAGGGACACCCCCTGCTCCATGGGTACGCCGATGATAAAGGAACTTGGTGAGGTTAACAAAGGTCTTTCCACATGGACACGAATGCAGAGGGTTCGGGGTGTGGGCTCGCCGATGGGTCAGGAGGAGGGCCTCTGTGCTGAAGGCCAGGCCACAGTCTACACATAAGAAGTGTGACTCACTGCTGTGGTCTCCAAGGTGCTGGTCCAGACTGGAAGGACTAGGGAAGACACGACTGCACAGAGGGCACTTAAAGACACCTTCCCGATGACTCCGCAGGTGCTGCTGCAGTTGGTGGGGTGAGAGAAAGAGCTGGTCACAGGCTGAGCAGAACAGCTCTTGGGTGGCTGTTCCTCCCGACTCTCCACTGTTATTCCTCCTGGCCCTGCGCCCCCGGCGATCGCGCCCAATGGCTTCACCATTGCGTAGTTCATAACTATGATCAGAGGCTGACAGGGGTTCAGGCTGAGACACAGGTACTTCTGCAGGTAATGAGGTCAGGGTCTCCTGCTGTAAAGCAGGCTCCTCAGACTCTGGGGCAGGAGCAGGAAAATGGGTGGCCTGGTGCTCCAGGAAGTCAGCTGGTAGCTGGAAGAGCTGGGAGCACTCAGAACACTTGTAGAGCAGCAACTCCACCTCAGTCACCACCTCAGTGGTGGTGGCAGCTGCAGATGGGACAGCTGCCCCTTCCCCACCCTCTTCTGCCTTCCGGTATGAGTGCTCTACAGCCACACGAGCCTGGCCCATAGGGGACCCTAGGACAACTGGTGACCCCAAGACAACTGGGGCGGGAGCCTTAGTGGGTGTGGCCCGGAGGTGCGTCTGCCGGTGATTCAACCAGAGCTCCTGGCTGGCAAAGAGAGCCTTACAATCCACACATTCATAGTGGATGGTGCTGGAGCTCAGTGGGGGTGCTTTGGGTGGTGGCTCAGCAGGCACTGTCTCCTGGGGTGCCATCATCTTCAGATGCAGCTCCTGGTGCTCCAGCAGCTGGGTGGGTGACATCAGCAATTGCCCACATTCCAGGCACTGGTACTGGCTCTCCTGCACCAGGGTCTGATAGAGACCTGTGCCTGAAGCTGTTTCTGTGGCCACAGTGACTCCAGGGTCAGCCACACCGACCAGCTCAAAGTGCTGCTGGGGCACATGAGAGTTTTGGTGCATGAGCACCTCCTCCAGGGATCCGTAGAGCTGGTTGCACTCAGAGCAGACATAGCGGTGCTCAATGTACAGGACTGTCTCCTCTGACTCCTCAGTCATGGCAGCAGCAAGGCCTTGGGCTGGAAGAGAGGAAAGCGGGGACAAATCAGTTAGGCTACTGCTTTCTCAGTCCTTCCAAGGACGGCTCTTTCCCCTTTATCACCTCCACTTCCCAATACCTTAGATCTATTTCTCTCTCTTCCTTATATTTTCCTACTCTCACCTCTTCTCAAAAATCCTTTCTCTCAACACACAGTATAAAAGCCTCAAACAACATCTTCCTGGCATTCCCTTCTTGGGGAAACCACCCCAAGACTCACCTCTGAATCTACTCATATCCTTGTAACCTGCCCAATTCTCTCATCTCCCACACCTCACAGCAGGCCCCAAGTCCCACCCATTACACAAGAACCGGTGTCCTCTCCTTACCACCTCACAAAGCTCCAATTTCCTCTCCAAGATACTCAGAAAAATTCTCACATAGGCCTTAATCCATTCCTCCTTCCCATGGCCTCTGTAAAAGTTCTCAGACCTTTTACATCCAGACCACTCATACTGTCCCAGTGTTCTGCACGCCACTTTCGGCACCTTCTCGTGGTATGACCCCTCTATTTTACACATATATAACCACTACTATACATCAACATTCTCTGGTGCCCAGATTCCTCACATCAAACTATCCTTTCCCCACAAATTTACTCACATTGGCCCAATCTCCATTTAGAATTTTCCTGCATTACTCACTTTCTCATAATATCCAGATACCCCCGCCCAACCCCTGCGAATCACTGAACTCCCTCTACAAATCAAGGCCCTCTCTCACATTCCTCACACACCACTATTCAGAATACTCAGACCTTTACAGAAGATTAACCCTTCCTTCATACCTAGATCCTTCCTACCACCCTAACCTGTGCCTCTAGGGCATATTTCATTTCATTATTATTTGAAATTTGACCAGAGAAAGAGAAAGTGGGAAAGCAAGCCACCAGGTCTGAAACTTGAACTGTGGGTGTCCATGTGGGAGTCCTGCACCCCAACCACCATGCCAGCTGCCAGCCTCCACTAGGGTATAAAGACACTTTTTTTAAAAAATAATTTTTTTTATCATTTTAACTTTATTTATTTTTATTTGACCCGAGGGGGACAGAGAGAGAGAGAGAGGGAAAGTGAGAAAGCAAGCCACCAGGTCCGGGGACTTGAACCGTGGTTGGTCATGTGGGAGCCCAGCGCCCTTAACCACCACACTACTTGCCGGCCCCTAAAGATATTCTTCACACTAATCTCTTCTTTTCTGTACTAAGACCAAATCTACAATTGTAATTCCCTCTGGGATACCCAGGTTCTCTCTTCATATTGACTTAAACCCCTCTTCTTCATACACATCCACCCGCCGTACCCTCTCTTCATATTAACCTAAGCTTCTCTCCCTTCACAAAAAACCCCAACCTTAGCCCACTCTATTGGGTCGTTGGAAAAGGCATGACACATTTTTGCACAGAATAACACTTCATGACTTTTCTGACGATCCAATAGGTATGCCCAGATTCCTCTTCTAAAAAGCATCCGCACACACTCTAGCCCACTTTAGGGATAACCAAACTTTCCTTTACAATGACACTTCTCACTGCCCAAATCCCCTTGGGGTTAATCCCCATCACACACTAATCTAGCAGACAAGACCCCTTCCTCACACCCAAACCCCTCTCAACAGTTTACTACTCTAGGGACACCCAGACCCCCAACCTCTTATCAACCTAACAGCTCATTCTCATTCCAGGAACACCCACGTCCTCTACCCCAGCACACAGATCTCTCACCACCTCATTCTCCCTCACTCAAATCCCATTTTCACCAAAGCCTAATTAGCTATCTGTACTTAAAAAATAATAATTAAAAAAAAAGCCCTACTTATCCCTAGCTATTCTAAAGACACCTAGAAACCCTTACGTTAACCCTTCATTGTACACAGAGACCTCTCTCAACTCAATCCAAGGGTACCCACCTCCCCGCCCCCGACACATTGGTTAAGCTCCTCTTCACAGTCATCTCCCCCATTCTTCACACTTGGAACTCTCCCTTAGCTCTGAACCTTCCCTTCAGGAGTAGCCATTTCCTTGTACCTTTTCACATCAAGCCCCCACTCACTACCCTAATTCTTTACACGCATCACTAGATTTTCCCCTACTTGAACTTAATTACCTCTCTTTTCACGCCCTAAGTCCCTCCCCGGTCACTAATGCCCTCTAGCCGCGGGCCCTCCTTCAATCCTGGACTGGTCCCCATCACCTAGCCCTTTCCCGGATATCCCACGGGGCCTTGGAGCCCTCTTCTGGGACAGCTCAAAGGCCTCCGCTGCCCACCCGGGTTCCTCCCCCCCCCAGTCCAAGCCCCGCCCCTTCTCACGCAGCCCAGCACTCGACTCTAGCCC